TTATGGCGGTATATTAGATTCAAAATTCTAACATGCTATCGTCTAATTTCTAACCTCCGTTCATGTAACTTCTAACCTTGATTCATGTAACTTCTAACCTTAATTCATGTAATTTCTAACTTCAATTCGTGTAATTTCTAAATTAAGACAATGTATAATCCAACTTCTTTATTTGTTCAGTGTAAATTTTAATTCTGTTTCGTCTTATTTTTATTGTTAAGACGAAAAATGTCTACTTCATTGTCACTTTACATGTTAATCATGAACGTCGAGCAAATTTAGAATTTTGATACCTCTACGTAGCAACCATCATTATGACGTCGTTTGGTGTCGCCACCGTGTGCTCAATTTGGTGATTGAGCACTGAGCGGGATCATTATGTTGCCACAAACGACTCGCTCTTCGTCAGGTTGAATGGTTTGGCGGAGTGTAAAAATTGAAAACAACATCGAACGTGATATGGTTTGCAAATACTGTTTTAAATATAAGCTAAACAGCATTTGTTATTTTTTTAAAGACAAGTGCAGGATTTCGAGAATTTTATTTTATTTTTATTTTACAGTTAAGCCAATTACTACTTATATACTGTTGATCTATAAATTATTCTGTTAATGCTCTAAAATATGTCTCTTTATACTACCCGAACGACTAGCCACTGTCCGTGTCAGACCCTCGTCTTCTTTCAATAACAAGGGACGGATAACCACGCCGGAATATGGCGGTTATATCATAAAAAAAATATATGTCTATGGGTTATATAATATCGTCAGCTAGTATACACACTGGCAAAACTCGCTTTATAATATTTCTGACATTATTAGTTCCGTCCTTGTGATTTGCGGAGGTTGCCGTTATTGTAGGCATATACAGTGTCTAGTAGTTCGGGTCGGACGAAAACCGTTGCAGCTGTTATTCGTAATAAAAGTAGACCGTAAATTTCACTCATGGCACACCGTAAGTTCGTCTTCATTAGCCTGGATGGTGTAGAAAAGTAGGACGATAAACCGCTATCTATGAATTTCGGTATTGCTTTATGCAACTTGAATAAAATATTTTTGGAAAAAAAACTACCATCAGAAATAAAAACTCCATCGCTATCCACATGAACAGATTATCCCAGTCTCCCGAAAAGGCCGTTTCATCCTTACAGTATGAGGTTTCTAAATTTATATCATTGAACCATATCAAGAAAAGGTTTATCATTTTTGTTAGAGGTAATAGAATACAGATTAACAGTAAATAAATATTATTGATGGCTTAACTGTCTTCAAGAAAATTGAAAAAAAAAATGCTGTTTGGCTTTTATTTGAAGTAGTATTTACCAACCATTTCACGTTCGATGTTGTTTTCAATTTCACCATCGATTCCCTGGTTGTACTTGTCAAGGAGTAGGGTCGTCTGTCCAACCTCGTGGGTTTTCTCCCGGTCCTCCCACTGCTAAAGACCCCTACGCGCAAGCGAATTGTTGAAATAAATTGAACCATATGTTAGTCCAGAAATGACCTAGTTTGTGCCGAGTGGTCGTTACCCCCCCCCTCTCTCTCTCTCTCTCTCTCTCTCTCATCACTCCACCCAATCACCAACCAGGCGAAGAGCGAGTCGTTTATATAAACATAATGGTCCCTACCAGGTGCGCAATCACCAAATGAGCACGCAATGGCGACACCAAACGACTTCATAATGATGGTTGCTAGGCAGAAGTGTAAAAATTCTAAACGTGTAAAGAATCAATGAAGAAGACGTTTTTCGTCTAAATAATAGAAATAAGATGAAATAGAATTAAAATTTACACTGAACAAATAAAGAAGTTGGATTATACATTGTCTTAATTTAGAAATTACACGAATTGAAGTTAGAAATTACATGAATTAAGGTTAGAAGTTACATGAATTAAGGTTAGAAGTTACATGAACGGAGGTTAGAAATTAGACGATAGCATGTTAAAATTTTGAATCTAATATACCGCCATAACTTTTGGCAAGGGGATTTTTTCCCATCCGTATCACCTATCCGTATCGTCGCGTGATACGTTGCGTCAATGTAGTTTTAGAGTTTTGGCAGATTTTCGTGCCGCGTACGTATGAGTAGCTGAGCTGAGCTTAGTTCTATTGCAGCATGATGGCAGTATCTACCAAGATCACCATCAGTACTAGTCAAGTGCCTAGCCTACAAATTACTGGCGGGGTGAGCTGAGCTATAAAAAAAATAATGTCGAATCATATTCAAAATCTTCGACTTCAACTCGGAAAGTTTATACCCCTTTACCATAGAATCACATCATTTACACATTTGCAAGGTCCAACTTCCCTAAATTTAGCGCGTAGATCAACCAGCATGCCGACAGACAGACAGACAGGAAAAATATGAAAATTCCGAGAAAAACTCATCAGAAATAACGATTAAACTCCCGTCTTAATCATGGTTAAAATCACATCACCACCTTCGTGTTCTAGGATACACATAGATTTATAAACAAATGGCACAACATTTCAGGGTCTAAAAGTAGCAAAAAAGACGGTAAAAAGGCAACAATTAATGTTATACGGACCTTTTCCCTATGAAAAATATACACACAGTGATGACGTCACACGCAAAGTCGATACGGATACGCGATACGGACCAGGAATTTACGCTTGCCAAATGTCTCTATTGTCGGCAACAAGGGGTAATATAAGACCCCAGACATAAATTGGTTTTTAGATGCATAAATTTTATTCAAAAGGGATCAAACTGTGCAGCTTAATAGAATATTTGAGGTATTAACAGTGAAGATATGATTTATTAGGTAATTTTGAAACCATACAAATCTGCAAAAAACTTGATTGTCATTTCCAGGTAGAATCGTCTTTTGATAGGTTTGGTTGAGTACCTAGATTTGCTTTCAGATCTAGATTACTAGAATGACCAACACAATACCATCAGTAAGAAAGATTCCATATCCAAAGCTAGCACCGAGCGCAGAACAGATTAGACACTTGTAACCAGCAAAATGTTTACAGGAAAGGGGAGAGGGTCCACAAGACCCCTTGTTTCCTATAATGTAATACTCGTAGTATCTTGTCAAATGGTAAATGTTGCCACTGCGTTCTATTTGCAGCATTATACTCGACGTTAAGTAGTTGACAATATATAAAATTCCCGCTAGACAATTATGCAGTATGAACCAGTTCGTCACAAATGCTAAGGATGTTGTCGTGGGGTCCCGAAATATCCTTTGTATACGCACAAGGGTTTAATCATTAAATGGCGACCGTATTCTAATCTGTTTATATCTGTGCCACCTGATGAGAGATAGACTTGTTGTATTAATACATGTCTACTGTTATTTAATTTGAAGCCACAATAAAACCCTGTTATAGACAGATTTCGCTCTTACACAATGCATCTTTAACAAATAGTAAATCAGTATAATTTCGCCCTTTACGACAGCAAACCATACTGCACATCCTACCATACATTATAGTCATGATGAACAGTAATCGAAAGTATACAATTAGCTTCGCTTGGGAACAGACACGAAGTCAATTGACCGACATTACTCGACGATTTTAGTCTAAAACACTAAGTATATACTTCGAGATTTTGGGATGTGTTTATGCTGCTTCTATTTAATAAAATCGATAAAAGACACGAAGTAAATTGACCGACATTAATCGACGATGTTAGTCTATAACAATAAGTATACTTCGAGATTTTGAGAAGTGTTTATTCTGCTTCCATTTAATAAAATCGAAAAGAAATATTTAGTCTGTGTGAATATGAAAGATGTAAAATGGATTAGAACTAAGTTTTGAATAATAATATGGCGGCTCTTCATGGTAGAATGGCAGGAGAGGGGTAAAAAATAGGTATATATATCAAATCGACAGCATATGTAATCAGAAATATAAAATTTAACCCATAATAATATGCAATAATGTATGATTTAATTTCACCAGTGTTCCATTGTCTATGTTCATTCATTTATATTTATTAGTCGACGAATAAATAATAAAAACCTATTTCAACGTATGTACAATTGTTAATCGATATAGGTTTTACATTAATTGCACCAATATTCAGTTGAAATTATCTCCTTAAATTTAACATGTATTGTTAAGCAGCTGTACAGGCAATAAATTATATATATTGAATGTAGCCGGTATATAAATCTATATCTATATCTACGTATATGGGCATCGTTACAGGTGTTTACTTATAGAAGGATCAAAAGCGCAAATTAGTTTTAAGAGATAATCATTTTCACCTCGTTGCCAACTCACGTTTTTATGCATATGGAAACACAGATGTTAAAAAACTAACGACACATTTGCCCCACTTTTATTGGCTGATTCCTAGCATAATATCATTAATAAATGCTATAATAAAAATCATCAAAAAATTTGATACAAAAAAACAAAACATATTCGCAGACCTTTAATGTAATGAACATATTCTTGATCATAATTTAACCATTATTCTTTTCTTGTAAATATAATCAAATTAAACTATTTCATAAAAATCATCCTACACATTTCATCCTATCAGACATTTCAACGAGCAGTAATTGAGCATGACCTCATGTTTTACCGAATAATCTTTCCCTATAAATACTACCAAATTAAACGTTTTCATAAAATTAATAAATTATTTAAATCTAAAATTTTTATTCAAGGATCTTTGGTTAGCAAAGTTCCCGATTACGTGTATGCATGTGTTGAATTGTAGTGCAACACTTAAGATAGGCAACGTTTCATGTATTATTTTATTGAATTTTAAGTATAATCTATCTATATGTTAAACTGTTATATTGAAAGACATTTTGTAAGCAATGTTTCCGATTAAGTGTTAATTTATCGTATATAACATACACGAATTGTATCTATTACAAAATGCAGTTTGTATCTACAACTTAATCCTAAGGAAAATATGTAGACCGTGACATTTCAAACCACCATTTAACAAAAAGTGAAATTAATTGACAGAAATAGAGAAGAAATGAACGAAAATACTTCACTGACCTGTTAAACAGAACTTTTAAACCTCGACAATATCTGCAAATGTAAGTATAGAGCTATATGGACCGTGTATCCATTTAAAATATCATATGACTCTTTCTAAGACGGATTTAACACATGGTCTTTAACTGCTTTGTATTGTCATTTTACACTCTAGCTGAACTCGTACCGCTATAAAGCGTTCTCAGAAGGGACTTTATATCCGTTACTCTGTCAAAGTATTATCGTCGGTTAATCCCGTCTCATATACAAACGCACGCGTATAATAACAACAAAATATACAATAACTCCCATACAATGAAAGTCTCTTATTCTGGGTTAAGCGACTAGTTTACATTTCTTTGTACTGAGAATGCACAGCTATAGAGCTGGAACACGTGTCCTGGTTGTCCAGTCTCATTCGAGTATTATGCCAATTCATGAATCGGAAGAAGGTCGGGTCTCAGTTACCCAGTTTAAATTGACACATTTAGAAAAATAGGATAACAACAATCAAAGAAATTGGCTGATGGTTTGAAACTTGAGAAATATGGAGTGGTGTATGTTTAACTAAAGTATACTCTACAATTGAGGCCAAGTCAACCAGGGGTCAATATCTTCCCCCCCTTTTTAGCTTCAGGGTTATATTAAATATTTTATACGACACTGAAAATTCATTTTAAACGCATATTGATGGTTCGCAGTAATATCGGGTATTCCATGGACATCGCTTAAAGAGGAAATGCGTTTTGCTTTTATTCATTGCAACACAGGATGGGTTGTAAAATAGCTAACAAATAAAAACACCCTATCTATGTGATACGATGCATGCATTACTGATTAAAAGTGTGACAAAGTTAAACAGGTTATTGAATGTTGATATGATAAAAAACAGGTGTCAAAAAACTGTCTTGTTTACACCATCTTTATTACAATGACCTTAGTGACCTTGAACAGTTAAACAAGGCACACAGGTGTGTTACAACCTATTGTAATAACTGTAATACAACGTTTCTTAACACTGTATACCTTATAAAAAACATTTGAAACGTACCTTAATGCATTTACACAAATAACGAATGTATAGAGGGACGGTGACCGAATATTTTAACGCATGCGCTTTATATGTCAAGGGGTAGGGTCCTCTCTCTCACATATGTTATACATTATGTCGAGAAATTTGATTATCTTTTCCATATAAAAAATATCAAAAGTCCAAAAGCTCAAGAGAACGCATTTCATATTTATTACAATATTTCTATCATTAAAAAATAGCATTATTACAATAGGGGAAAATATCACATTTGTTGTTGCACAGGTGCAAAACCCCGAGGAGATATATATATCTGCCAACAATTAGATCGAACCCTGGATCCACACGTTACTAAGCCAGCGCCCTAATCACTGGGCTACCGTCAATCCAGAACACTTTATTTCTGCACTTTAAGTTAATGCCCTATTCTTGGGCAAGTTACTGAGCAAGTCTGAAATTAGATTCCCTGGAAATTTTCTGTGGCAATTGCTCCTTTTGGCGGTGAATTATTAGTGGAGTAATTGTCAGAAGCCGTCGAATTAACTGTCGTCGATTAACTATATATATATATATACGACAACCAGGGGTTATGTTTCAGAATTCCGTTTCTATCACGAGATATAACAAATGTACGATACAAAATAACATCAATGGGTAAAGGCCAAGACTAATGTTAGTCTGGAACAGTTATATAGTACGTATAGGAGGAGCGCACCACATATAATTACACAAGACAAATCTTCGAACATGACATAATATACACAGACACTGCAAACAATACACAATGAACATGTGAATGGATCCACGGGCTAGCCGTAAGCGTGTGTTTATGAGCGTGATTCAGAAGAGGTTTTTTTTTTATTTTCCTTTACATGTATCAACACAAGACTCAGAAATTCCTCCTATAAAAGTAGTATGTCGCTGTTAGAAATGTTATCTACTGTGTACTCAAGTCAATATATTTGCAAATTATTTACCATTAGAAGTGCCATTGGGGAAATTTGAAGCATAATTGTCTGCCTTTCCATGAAAAACGATAAAAGTTGCTCATGCGAACTGAAGCAAAAAAATGTCCATTTTTAAACAGGGAAACTGCGCAAACAAAATGTCTTCTTCTCAAATGAAATTCAAAAGTTTGGCACCTCACTTCAAGCAAATGTTATGCACCTTAAAAGGCCAAAGCGTCTAGGTCATTCTACCTAATACACTCCCGTTAAACATTTCCATTTAAATCCATTAAGAAATCGTGTTAATCTGGCAGGACTTCACATGTGGTTAAAACATACAATAAACCAATTTTATATACATTAATGTTTATTCAAAACCGAGACTATTTACTGTTTATATTAATTAAATTAAGCCAAGAAAAAGTCCCAGCGTCTAATTATTATTTACAATACACTGTACATCAAAATTTTGACGTGAATCCGATATAGATGCAAATATTCTTAAAACGCCTAAGTGACTTATATACCATACGTATAACAATGACCATTAAGTCAAACATTAGTTTTTAATTGCGAGCTATTGTGTAAACGTCTCTCCTCCAGTGATTGTCTAATTATATCCGTTAATTTAAACCAATCTCGACCCCCATAAGAACCACTTATTATTCTGTCATTTAGTCTGTTTCTACAATTACATAGACAAACTCAATTTGTGGGCAAACCGCAATTATACAAACAGAACGGAGCCCCGTGTCATAATGATGTTATGTCTTATCGAATTCAGTCTAAAACTAGTCCCTGCAAATTAAATAATTCTAGATGAACAAAACATACTGTTAACTATTCTTGTCAAAATCACGTCCGGGGTTGGCGGGGTGGGGATTGCTTGAGAATTAGATTTGAATCAAGGACGAGTTTGTATCAATGCATGTGAATATTCAAATTCATCTAACGCAACTAAAACACGCTTACAAAGTTAAAAAGTAGTGTGATATTCCGGAGTAAACTTGACTTGTTGAAGTACATGTAATAGGACTAATACGGAGCCAGTTCGTTTGAGAAAAACTGTTAAAAACTGTATAGTTTAACAGACGGAATCTATCTGGGTAAAGCCTGCTTTCTTCAAGATCTATAGATGCGTAGAGGATCCAGAAAAAAGTAGAACATATCAGTGAGGGGTCCCCCGAGCTTGTTAAGATTAATCTCAAACACAGTTCAAGTTCTATAATATATCATAAACCATTATGCATCTGGTGAAGGTCAATTGAGACGAAGCGTTGTGCGATTAAACACTACCAAACAACACAGCATATGTTTGAGGGAATGCGAAATAAATAAATATGTTTGAGGGAATGCGAAATAAATAAATTTGACCGATAGCTTAAAATTGTAAAAGATCGAACACCATTATTACAAAACGTTAGCTCAATTGAAGATCAACAGCGACAAATATAACTAATATATATGCTCTTTTACAAATATATAAAAACGCCCACAGAATGTCCTGACCTGGGTCGTTACTTGTAGTTGTCGTTACTCGCGTTCATTAACCATAAATATCGAAGCCTACGTAAATTCTTTTTTCCGTCGTTTAATCGCAGTTTCTGTCGTACGTTTAAGTCTCTCAATGTTCTGGCAACCTTTTGTCAATCGATTAACACACACAAATGACTCGCGTCGTCAACAAGCAGACGGATTGCCAGATAGTGATACCCATACATTTTTGCCGACATGTGCGCGCCCCCAGTGGGGGTTTTTCTAGTAGCATTGAGTATCTCTACTTTCATAGACCCAATTTATCATCATTGACTGGGGTGTTTCTTGGCAATCTGATTCAGTGGTTCAGTCAGTCTATGTTAAAGATCATCAAATGTCAGATCATTTCATGATCAAAATATCTTTGAACTGTTTTAAACCACCAAATCCGAAGCCGGTGATAGATTGCAGGAACATTAAGTGTATATCATAGACAGATTTTGAAAAGAATTTGTTAGATTCAAGCCTTTTTAAAAATAGACCTAAGAAGGTTGACGAACTCGTTGACCCCTTACCTCCCTTTTGGACAAACGCTCTCCATGTAAATCCAAAGTTGTTCGTTTCAAATCCCACGCCCAGTGGTACACTGATGAAATTGCTGTATTGAAAGGTAAGCGTCGGGTAGCTGAGCGAAGATGGCGGAAGACAAGACTTGAAGTACACAGACAAATGTTCTGTCAAGCTAGATCAGATGTGAACAATAAACTCCGACGTGTGAAAACCCATTATTCACTCATCCGTTTGATGCATTAGGACAAAGAATATCGTCTCCACTTTCAGCAGCAGACGATTATACCTTAAATATACCCCCCCCCCCCCGGCAATGACTTTACATGTTTTTTCAAAGGGAAACTTGATAAAATCCGAGATGACTTGATTAAATCAGTACGGAATGATACTACATATACATCACAACACACATCTAGGCCGTCTCCATTGTCGCTTTGTTTCTTCAAACCTTATACGAAAGATCAAGTATTGAAAGTAATTAAAGATTCTAATCCTACAAGTTATGAGTTAGACCATGTTCCAACTAAATTCCTCATGGATGACTGAAGTGTGCTTCTCCCAGTCATTACGTGTATCATTAATAAAAGCTTGTAATGTGGCGTTGTTCCCCAAAGTCTCAAAGAAGCAGAGGTTAATCCTCTGTTAAAGAAACCTTATTTTGAAGTTTCCTCCCTATCAAACTACCAATTTGTCTTTTCTTCTAGATACTAAGATACTGGAGAAGGCTGTCAAGTCTCAATTTGTGCACCATCTAATTCATCTTGATCTTATGGATGAATTCCAATCCGCATATCATGTTGGATACAGCACCGAAACAGGACTGTTAAGAGTTACAAATGATATTCGAATAACTGTGGATGGTGGACATATATCCCTATTGGTTCTCTTGGACTTATCCGTAGCTTTCGACACGACCAATTATGACAGGGTGTTCGCACTGAAACAGGACTGTTAAGAGTTACAAATGATATTCGAATGTCTGTGGATGGTGGAAATATCTCCCTATTGGTTCTCTTGGACTTATCCGTAGCTTTCGACACGAGCAATTATGACCGGGTGCTTGGGTGCCTTAAACATGACTTTGAACTAGATGGTGTCATATTAAATTGGTTTCATTCATACCTTACTAATAGACTCCAATCTGTTCTAGTAGATAAAGTGAAACATCTAGTGCCAATATTAAAAAACTTCAACTTGTGCAAAATACCGCAGCTCGAATTGTTACCAGATCATCAACATACTCTCATATAACTCCTGTTCTGAAATCACTCCATTGGCTGCCAACAAATGAAAATAATCATCTTCAGAATTCTG